TTCCGTTTCACTTTGTACAACCACTAACCATGCACTTTCGTGGGCCGGCTTTGGTTGCTGTCTTTTGGATACCCATTAGGATGAGGCAGTAGGAGGAAAACGGGAAGTACAGTCGAAGAGAAAAAGGAGAACATCGGTAGAAAAAGGTTACAAAGAAATTGAGATGCACGAGCACCGCTGTTTACAAAACAGACATATCACTCAGTGTTAAGTCAAGTCAAGAAGCGGCTTTAATTCGTCCAAACCATCGATTACAATGATCTCGTGGTCCCCATCCAGGGAGCCTAACGGAACTTATGTGGCCGAGTATCCTGATTAGTTTTCATACCCTCTTGCCAGATCTCATTTTGACTATCATTGGCTTTTTCTACGCACTATCTGCTCCGATAAAACTCGCGCGCCGTGGAAACCTACCTGGTGACATGCGCAACACATGTCTCAACTAATGTAATCTATGTAGGTCGATCACTTGTTTCAGTGGTCGACCGCGATTGCCTGAGACTCTACGCCTAACCTCAGCATTGCTTGTCCGGTTCCCCACCAGACTCGTGCAATGCTGTGCAGACAGCGGTGTTAAAGCATCGACAGCCTATCGCCAACTTATTTTCTCAATGGTCAAGGTTTTACGTCGTATAGCAGAACTGTTCTAACTGCTGCAGCATATACTTGACCCTTCACGGACAGTCGGATGTCGTAACGGTGCCACAGATGTCTCAAGTTGGCCTTCTGTCTGTGAGCTGACAGTTTATCCGTGATTCGTCCGCCGGGTGGGATACAGCTGCCCAAATAAAAAACTAGTTCACTTGGTCTATTACTTTCCCAGTCAAGGTAACGCTGGATGCTGAACCAACCCAGTCTTGTAACAACATTTCGCACTTTGATGGTGCAAATCGCATACCGAATATAGCTACACCAGCATTTAAGCTGTACACTAAAGCTTGTAACTTATCTGAATCTTCACTTAGCAGTAAAATTTCGTCTGCACACCTCAGACCACAAAGTTTCCACCCCGAATTAAATAGATGCCACTATCCGCGCACGAGGAAAGGGCTGTTTTCATAATCAAATAAATAACGAAGTTAAACGGAAAAGGAGAGCAGGCAACCATGAAGAACACCACTTTCCGTAGTGAACTCGGGCGAAAAAGTGCCGTAAGCTCGGGCTCGTAATATTGAAATAAGCTTCTCAGACACATCGGTAAGGGACAGTAACTCTAGAGTTTAGAGCGTTCGAAGAAGTCGAAGGCCGCTTTCAAATCGAGGAAAGCAGAGATGATGGGTATACGGAAAGAATATCGGTGCTCTAGAATTTTCCGAAGAGTGAAGACATAATGGATACGACCTGGACTAGGGTCTAAAACCAGCCTGATTCTCACGCATGCACTCTTCACGTGTAGTAGGAAATCGACGGAGTAGGATCCTAGCGATAAATTTTGAAGTAATGTTGATTAAACTAATACCTCTGTGTTTTAGAGAAGGATCAGGCACTTTTCCTGTAAATTGGTAAGATGGCCGATTCACACTAGTCAGTTGGGACCTGTTCGGTTTCCCATATTGACCCTAGGAGTTTCGCCAACTCCAAGACTGACGCTGAACCTCCATCCTTAAAAGCCAATGGAGACAGCCCATCTGAGTCGGAGGCTTTATACCTTTTGAGTAACTTATTTCCCAGGAAACCTCCATTTCAGATGAAGGACAGGCATCAACTGGGAGTATTTGCCCAGTCGAGGTGGGGTGATAGGTCAGACACCGATAGGGGCAGTTGAACTCAAACTCGAAGCGTTCTGCCTATCGATCAAGACGGCGTTGCCGATGGTGAATCACTGTATCTCTTAGGCCTACTCTCCTTGGACCCGTAATCCTGATTAGACGGAAAAGATGCGACTATTACCAATTGCCGCAGCTCTCTCGATCTCTCTACACTTCCCTGTCCACCACTTCTCGCGGTCATTCTTTAGACTCTTGATGAGCTGATGTTTGAGATACTTGCGTGCTGTGTCACGTGACATCAAGAGGAAGAGTTCTGCGGGCGTTCAGCAGGGCAGTCGAGGTCAAAGAGGTCCACCACTTGCACCTGAGTCCGTCGTTGTTTCAATCGACATTTGCATAGTCTCCTTGATTACCATCCAGTGTTCAAGGATCCTCCGGCTGATGGTTGAACCGATAGATGATCGGAGAGTTCCGCTTCGAGGGTCAATTTTCAACTACCAATGACAGTATTGTTGGCATTCGTTTCCGGCGGCTGTCGATCAGACGTAGGGAGAATCTGGCTGTTCGAAGAGTATGGTCCATGCCCACAGGTGTTGACCCGTAGGAGAAGCAATCTTTAATAGATCCTCACCAGCGATGGCTGATGACGATGTGGTCGATTTGAGTCCAGCGTTATGAAGGGGTGAACAGTTTCAAAGTATGGCTCTGTCGTGTCTTGTGCGAGATGTTGGTGCTTGGCAGGAACAATCCGAGGTCCGCGTAAAGTTAAAGTACGCGATCTCCGTTATTTGTCCAATTGGGTGGGATTACATGTGAACCGCCAAGACGCCTTTCTGATTCGTCCAAGCACCCCACTTGAGCACTGAAGTCTCCAGCGACTACCACGATGTCCGTTGACCAAGCACTTTGGTGAAATTGAGAAAAATCCTTGTAGAATTCATCATTGATTGCAGGTGTATTGCAATCGGTCGGTGCATAAACCAATACAACGAATAAGCATCGACACTTAGTTCTGTAGCTATTGACCCATACTGAGCCGTTGAGAGGTACAGCGCACAGTCGGCTACTGACTGGAATCCAGTCAAAAAGCGAGCACTCAGCCTTGGTACTTACCGCAATCTTAACACCAGCAACACCACGAGCGTCGGATGCTGAATCACCTGACGTATGAAGGGTGAAGCGTGAGAATGACGTGGGGTCAGAAGAACCCAGGGCGATGACTGAAGTAGGGTCGTGTATGCGTGTTTTGAAGTCACAACATACGACTGAATTGAAAGTTTCAAGGGTTCTAGGTAAAGCAGCTTGTTGCCTCACCTGGTAAATTGTGCGGACGTTAAACGTAGCTAATTGAAAAGGCAATTTTGGCTTCCAATATCCTATAACTTCATATTGTTTTTCCTTACTAGAGAAACGCTGAGTGAGATCTGATGGGTGGCGTAAACAGGTGCCTGGGATTATTCGCGATTGAGAGAAAGAACTAGATATGTAGGAAAGAAGTTCTTACAAATGGGTGCCTAAGACTTTAGAGCACGACATACTTTGCGGCAGCCCACACCAACGAAGGTAAGAAGATAATAGAAAGACAGGCACTAACTCTATGTTCAAAGACGGTGGCGTAGCATTTTGTCACGTGAAGATTGATACTGCATTCGTCAACTATCCGTTAGTTTTTTGGGAAGAGTGACTGTGATCAACTGGTCGGTTCCCTTGTCCCAGTAGATTAGCGCTTAAGCCACTTCACGTATTCATTAATTTGTATACATTGTGATCGACTGGGAACGATAAATGAAGTCAACTTCACAGTATTTCACTGTAAAAATGTCAACATGATAATACTTATAGGTATGGAGCCAAAAAAACAGAGCGCATGTTAAATACAAGTAACAAATGACGGAGAAATTGTGCGCAAATAAAATACCATACAGACTGCTGTGAAATCTACTCACAATTGTATCCCTGACAAAATGTTTTTAATTTCCAAATTTAATTGATTTATTAGACAACAGAACTGTTCGCGTACAGTGCGCCCTCTGCTAACCCCATCACAGCAGCCACGAGTAAAATTGGACATCAACGTTCTGTAAACGCTGGTGCGTATGCACGCATATTCCCATGTGTCACCCGTGATCACAATCTTTCTTGACACTAATGCGATCATTTTGAACAGGAGTGTAGTACACGAGGAGACATAATGCCCCCAATCTAGACCCTCAAGAACNGTGTTACGTACGGGATGTAGTGCGTGGTAGAAATGAATCGTTATGTATATCACACCAATCTTTACAGCTACGGCGCGAAAATAACAATGAGTTTAACGCAGAATGTAAAAAACGGAACAGAGAAACAACAAAAACAGTCAACTTTAGGGAAAACAACTTTATCCTTGTTTACTGCACGCCGTTTTGACTTTTTGTTTTACTTTTGGGATTGCACACAGGAAAGAGTGCATTCCCGCAACTGACTTTGGTTCGATGCCACATCCCGCAGTGTCTCCAGCCAAAGGCAATCCGAATCTAAGTGGCCCCAGTCGGAAAGCCCCGAAGGAAGCCAAATCCGAGCACAATCTCTTCAACTCTCTACACCACGTCATAGCCTGTCCACCTCACTGTTTTTCCCAGCCCAAACTGATGTCTGCAAATAGCGCAAGGTATGGCGGACGTTGTTCGGGCGTTCGTAGGATGTCCTTCAGTCAACTAAGACGATGCAGTAAAATGGCTTTGCTCAGCGGAAGACTAACCGACCCTAACACAAGTCGTCTGACCTCAACGTTATTCACGCCATGTTCTCATGATTCGCGGGCGATATGGCGCAGACAACGGTTGTCGAATACGGATAACCGTTAAACGTGATGTGCTCAGAGAGGCCAGATTTCGCAGCCATAGATCAACACAGTGCGTACCGTTGCGCAATACACACGCCCTTCCAGTGAAAGGGATGTGTGGCGCTGGCGCTAAAGATGCCGCAGATTAGCAAACGTTGCACTTAAATGAATGCATGCCCTAACTGCAAAATATAACTTCGTTCAATTTCCTTCGGGTAGGCCTTAGTGGGTCAAGGAAAAGAATGTGGCGATACGGAAAACAACAGGTGTTATCGATTCTTTGTTGATAAACGATCCCAGTGCAATACCAGGAAATGACCACAAAAAAATGCGAAAACGGTAACGCGTATATGCAAAAAAAGATTGACGCGAATTGATTGTGAAACACGTCAACCGACACAGAATGAGGAGGGAAAAACAAGAAGAAATACGTACGTCTTTGTCAACCACATCGGTGAGAAACCGAACCGAAAGCACAGGCAACCGAACATTTCGGAGCAGTGTAGGTAGATGCGTGGAGCGTTCCTTGGGCTGATGATTGACCCATCGCATCACAGCCATATACACCGTTTCCTCGCTATCAATCTATAGTCAAGGTTATATGTAAGAGGAAAATGGGACAGAGAAAGCAAAGAAGTATACATCGTAGTAGTCTCTTTATTCGCGCCAAGTAGGTAGATTTTCAGCATTGTTTATCGAGATAGATCGCAATCAAAAGTGATGTCCAACCCACGTCATCCACGTTACTGTTATTACTTTTGTGGTGTTCACATCATGCTTGTCTGCAAGCCTGTGATATATATATATATATATATATATATATATATATATATATATATATATATATATATATA